TATATATATATATATATATAAGGCGGCCATTTCTTTTACCATATACCAGTGATGTTACTGAGGTATATAAACATATGTGAGACGGCCATTTCTTTTACCATATTCCAGTGACGTCACTGAGTTATAAATGTATGAGGCGGCCATTTTATTCACCATATATCAGTGCCATTACTGATGTATATATGTGTGGCGGCCATTTAATTCACCGTAGATCAGTGCCATCACTGAGGTATATATGTGTGGCGGACATTTTAATTACCATATATCAGTGCCATCACTGAGGTATATATACATATGTGAGACGGCCATTTCTTTTACCATATTCCAGTGACGTCACTGAGGTATTAATATGTGTGATGGCCATTTTATTTTCCATATACCAGTGACGTCACTGAAGTATAAATGTAAGAGGCAGCAATTTTATTTGCCATATACCAGTGATGTCACTGAAGTAGAGACGTATGAGTTGGCCATTTCATTAACTTGTAAGCAGTGATGTCACTGAGGTATAGATATGGGGAAACGGCCATTTACTTCACTAGGAACCAGTAATGTGAGAGGCAGTGACAACCATTGTAGTTCATTAAAGTGGAACTATACTCTCCTATCCCTCACAGCCAAGGAAGGTGCCATCTTGGCCTCCATTAGGATTGCAGTTGCCATGGTGCTGCACAAGTGGACAGCTACGACACCATCTGTCTGAGGGCTTGAAAGTTTGGTTTAGAGCTGAAATAAGCGCACTGGCAACCTTGACTGTTGGCACGCCTTAAAAGTAACTGCTATGGAAGCCATTAAATTGGTGGGTAAAGTTCCCCTTTAAGAACATGACTGAGGTACGAATGTGATGCACGTTTATGGAATCCGGAAAAAAAATTCATAAGTATGGAGTCTGTTGTGTCATCTCAGAGGCGGATGTGGCTGGATGGTTCTTTTTAATTCCTTCCTGTTTCATTACACTTAGTGGGGGCCATTACCATCTCATGGAGACCAGCAACACCAACAAATAAAACTCTTCTAGGTTGCTGTTTAATAAGACAGTTTGGATGAAAGAATAAGTCCGCCTGAAACATACATGTCATTTATAGATGGACACTAGTGAGGTAACTCTCCTGCTGGCCTTAGGAGCCAAGGGGTGAAATGGGGTGAAATGTCCCCACCAGCATTCACAGTTCTTCCTGCTATGGCCATTATAGAGCCACAATGATGGTGTCATACTTCCCTGTTGAATACCAATATGAAACAATAATTGGGGTATCCAGCTGGGAAAGTGCAACGTATTCATTATGGCTCCACGCGAGGGGGGCATGCACAGACCGCCGCGGGAAAATTTCACCGCTGGGGTCCCTCAGAGCCAGCAGAGACAGAAACCCGCCAGTGTCCTTCAATTACTGTAATATCTGTTTTGGATGGCGGTGACAAAGGCCATGTCCGTTTTTCAGCTTGGGTAAACTGTATAAAGAGAACCTGTCAGGATTGTCCAATGGGAGCTGCCAGTGCTTGTGTTCTCACAGTGCAAGCTCTATGGCCGCCATTTGACCTGGGGCAATCATGTAGCCATTGTAGGAGCAACTCCTGAGCTTCATACTTGTTCCAGGGAAGATACTCATTAAAGTGAACTTGACCTGGCCTTATTATGACCACAGTAATGTATTGCACCTTGTACGGCCATGTTATACTTCCTCCTAAGTCATATTTAAAGTGCATATGACCTGATCTGGCAGCCAGTGACCGCAGTGATGAATTGCACCTTGTGGTGTCTGTAGATACCTGTATGAGCCTGTAAATTAACCCGTAGTGTCATGTAGAGCCCCTTGGATTCTATGGCCGTTTTATACTTCCTCCCGAGTCATATTTAAAGTGGACCTGCGTCTGACCAGGTCTGACAGCCAGTGACCGCAGTGATGAATTACACCTTGTGGTGCCTGAAGATACCTGTATTAGCCTTTAAATGCCCCCCTTGTGTCATGAAGAGTCCCTTGGATTTTACGGCCATGTTATTCTTCCTCCCAAGTCATATTTAAAGTGTTTATGACCTGACCTGGCAGCCAGTGACCTATTGATGAATTGCACCTTGTGGTGTCTGCAAGTACCTGTATTGGACTTTAAATGCCGCCCCCCC